CCTTGGCGTTGCGTCGATCCTAGATCCCTCCTCCTCCTCCTCCTCCTCCTCCTCCTCCTCCTCCTTCGCCTCCTTGTCCTCTGGGACGCCTCCCGCGGCGAGCCCGGCAGGCCCGCGCGGGCCGCCGCGCCAGTGCCGCAGGCCCGGCGGCCCCCCCGCCGCCTCGAAGCCGCCCCGCGCGGCGCGAGGGGCGGCCTCGCCGCCGTGCGGTGCTGGCCTGTTCTTGGCATTGGTTTAAAGCCTTTGCGCTCCTTTGCGCTGCTGCGGTCTTCCGACCAGTTGGCCTCGCCTTCGGGCGTCGCGGGGGCCGCGCGAGGGCCGCCTGTTGTTGTTGTTGTTGTTGTTGTTGTTGTTGTTGTTGTTGTTGTTGTTGTTGTTGTTGTTGTTGTTGTTGTTGTTGTTGTTGTTGTGTGTAGTTGTTGATACAATTTGGGGTGTGGCAGCGAGAGGTTGACGACCGCAAGGGAAGGTCACTGCAGGGGAGGCACCGCAGGGGAGGTACCGTGAGGGGAGCTCCCGAGCGCTGCCAAGCGTTCCCAGGCTCTCCCTAGCGCTCCCGAGCGCTCCCATGCGCTTCCCAGGCGTTCACCGGCGCTCCCAGGCGCTCCCCGGCGCTCTCCGGCGCTCCCAGGCGCTCCCAGGCGCTCCGAGGCGCTCCCAAGCGCTCCCGGGTGCTCCCAGGCGCTCCCGGGCGTTCCCAGGCGGTCCCAAGCGTTCGGATGGACCCCGGGATGGGTCTGGGGACAATTCCTAGCCATCTTGTGGTGGTAGAGACATCGCCCCGCGTTCCTCTCTCCTCTACTCTCCTCCCCCTCCTCCCTCCCCTTCCTCCTCCGATCCCTGCATGTGCCCTCCGAACCAGCCACCGAAGGCCCAAGTGTCACCGTTCGCGTGCGGCGGCCGCCGTGTCCGTGTTGGCACACCCCTCACACGCCCACCGAAGGCCCAAATGCCAGCGCTCGCATGTCCGCAGCCATTCTTGCTCAACACTCATGCAGGCTCAGACCAACTCGCACTCAGATCCATTCGTGTTTAGATATATTACAACGTTCGAGGCGAGCCAGTCCGCGGCAGGGCAGGTAGGCATCGCGATCACCGAGATGGACGGCCCAGTGGCGTGGCACCATGCATCTTCTGGCTGCACGGTGGAACAAGGTACTGCAATGCCCAAGTCGGGCGCAGTTGGGACAATTGGGCGGGTTCATTTCAGCACTACCTCCAGGGACAACCAGGATGGCATGGGAGGGTACGCTCTGACCTGCAAACAGGCGGCCAGGGTCTCCGACGCTCGTTCGCGGCGGGACAGAATCGCTGTCTTCTCCGCCCAAATGGCGGTCGAGACCGTACGATATATATATATATATATATATATATATATATGCATATATATATATGCATATATATATACGTATATATATACACATCGAAGCACAAGTGATTCGTTGATCGAGGACATGGATGATGAGGACGTCGGTTTAACTCCATGGGTTGCGGCATCTGGTCGGACGGGGGAACAGCCATCATCATTCCAGCACTTCCATTCTGGTCATTTCGGTTCCCGCCCAGCCTTCATTATTCCAGCTTTTCCATTCCGGTCAATTCGATCCCCTCCCAGCCATCATTACCGTTCCAGCGTATCCCTTCCCATGGGGTGCGTTCCGTATCATGTCACTTGCTTTCATGCTTTATTGAAGGGGCGTTTGTGCGGTTGTTAATTGTTCAGCTTGCCCCACCCCCGGCGTCACCACATCCAAGGTTTCGGCTTGCCGCCTCCACCATGTTTCAGCATCGTTCCTTGAGAGACCTCGTGGGCTGCTTCCTCCCGCCGCGCCTCTAAAACTCCTCCATTTATGGAGCGCACGGTCGACTGCGCAAACCGGTTCCCTCGATGGTTGCCATCCTTAGCAGTTTGCGGTTGTTGCCCTCGCTGATTTATGTTTGATAGCATTCCCTATCCCATTGCCATGTCAATTCATGTTCCGATTCCGTTCGCTTTTGCGCCGACATGTGCCCAACAGTGTTAGTTTTGTTTACGTATCACGAAAAGCGCCAGACAAGGTATATGTTATTCGTGTAATCGTTGATGTCGACGGCATTCGTACACGCATGGCGGGAGCAGAACGTTGCGCGTATCGCGCATAAGTGAGCAATCTGTAGATCTCGCATCAGTGCTGCGCGCTTCCGCTTTAGCGTGGTACAGATGTTGGGCGGCCACGTCCAGCGGAGTCGGTGCCGAGTGTCAAGCGGATCATCATTGTAAAATGTGCAGATGCACACGTTGCGAAGGTCGTGTTCATGTGTTTGGTAGTTTGGAGTTTGATCGTTACAGCTGCAGCACTTCAATCGCACAATCACTCTTGTATGCAACATCATGTGCGATGCACGCAGCGTATCCATTTCGTTCGTTACTTCCTGTACGCGCCACTGTGAGATTGGGTGCTGGTGCCAGTTTTGTGTTGCGTCGACTTTGGTTTCAATGCAGCTGACATTCAGGTTTCGAGTGGCCAGGGCCCGCTGTGACTTCCGAGCTAGCCAGCCTGACTGAGATTCCTTCCCCTCCTCTTCCGCCGCAACGATCTCCTTCTCTACGGTTTAGCACAAGGTTTACCTACACCGGCCACATATCGACGCGCGGCACCAGAAGGACTGTCGGATGATTCTGGAGTGATGGTCGAGTGGCGCTTGCTCATGTACAAGTGCGGGAGCCGTCTCAACCTCGTGGGCGAGAGACAGATTCGTACCCGCGGCCTCGCGGGCCAGGTCCCTGGGCCGCGACCCCGCCCGCGGATACGGGGGGGCGTTTTCTCGCGGATGCCCCGCGCGAAACGCATCCGTGCGACCGCGTATCCGCAGGCTCGCGCCTTGGACGGTAGACCGCGCGGGCGCGGATACGGATACGTCTGTCGCTCGCGAGATCAACCAGTGAGGAGGGCGCGAGTGTCAGCCAACCTTCGATGCCTTCTTGCGCACAGGTCTCCCAGGAGTAGCCAGGGATAGGAGGCGGTGTCGGCAGCGACGCCTCCTGCGTGGAAGGTGAGGCCTCGTCTCTCGTGGACTTGCGAGGTGCCGTGTCTCTCCGCGGGGCCCCCCCTGGCACCGCCCGCATCTTCGCGGTACCCTCTCCCCGTCCCTGCCCCGTCCCCCGTCCCCCGTCCCCTCCCCAGGGAAAATACGCGACGGGCGGCTTTCCACAATTTGTTCTACTTCTGTGGGCCTTCGCTGGGGCCCTGGGACCGCCAAGCAAGAACGTAGGATGTGATCGTTTATCGTATCTATAGTTTTGCCGATCGGCGCGGGCCCTCGCACCCCCTCCCCCTGTCTCCATGGAGTAGATCTTGGCTGGTTTTAGCGCCTGATTCAAGCCCATAGGGCGCACTGTTGCAAATTGTCGCGTCAAGCAGAGGGGGCCAGACCCAGAACCTTTTCCCCTTCCCCCCCACGTTCGCTCAATGTCGAAACGCAGAATAACAAACCGTTCTTGATGAACGCTTGGGCCGAGACATGACATCCAGGGGCCCACGTCGTGAACACAAATCACGACCTCGGGGGTCTGGGTCTCTCTTCCCCTCCTCTCCCCTTCTTCTACTTTCAGCCCAATCTTTACCAGCCTCGAATGTATCCCTATCCCTAAGATTGACACGCCAAAAGGCGATGACAATCTTAGGGAATGGCTAAAACTAAGGGGATCCCATGATTGGCATCGTGATGAGGAGGTGCCCAGCATAGTCATAGGGATCTGTTCCAGGCTGGTAAAATCTGGCATGGCAGGACCTGCCATGCTTCTCGAGCCTCTGGGCCCACTGCGGTGCGGGGCGGAGCCCGTCCGCCCGTGGCCCTCATGCCCGCGGCCTCGGCGAACGGCTCGAGCCGAGGCCAACGTTCAAACCGACCACGAATACTTGTGCGTACGGTAGGTCCATGCGGCGATGGCGCGCCTGCGACGCCGGCAAAGGCCGTCAAGGCTGAATTCTGCGACGCGGAAACACCGAGGGACACAGCGACGCCAGTGGACCCAGCGGAATTCAACCTTGCACGATCGGGGCCGCGATCGGCTCGAGGTTGAACCATCGACGCGGTGTCAAAAACCTCAGCGCACGCTGACGCCGCGCGAACCTGGCGTACAGCCAAAGCGCTGAGATGGGGACCCTCTCGGGCGCAGGAGGGGGCTCTGCTTTTCGGCCCGCCGGGGCCTGAAAAGCCCTTTGGCTCCTTTCGGCGGCGAGCTTCTGAATCCAAAAAAGATGTTTTTGAATTCAAAAAAAGTTTTTGAACTCAAAGAACTGTTTTCTTAATTTTGCTGAATTCAAAAACCTGGTTTTCGAATTCAAAAGTTGGTTTTCTGAAGTCAAAAACCGGGGGGGAGTGAGAAGGAGAAAGCCTTCTCAGAAGGCGGCGGGACTTCTTTGAAACCCTGGCAGCTTCTGAGAAGTTTCCTATGTCGTCGGGGAAGGCTTAGACAACTTCTCAGAAGGCCCGGGAACTTCCCCTTCTGAGAAGGCCTTCTCCTTCTCGTTTCCCCCCCCCTCGGTCGCCGCCGATCCTTACCCAGCGTTCCCTCGGCATCGCTCGGACGCGTGTATGTTGTTGTTCGTCGAGGCCAGCGCCAGAACATCTGGACCATCTTCTTGCCCCGTGGATCACCTGGAGATCCAACAAACACCCACGAAACCAAACAGTGCACGAAGAATAGACGGCCCAGCGAAGGCGAGCTCCTTAGGGTAGCACGATGGTTGTACAAGGGCGCCCTCGAGGGCGCGAAATTATTCGCGCTTCACGCTTCGGCTCCGATTCCTCCTCATCCTCCCCTTCTCCCTTGAAAGGCGGCGCGAGAGCGCGAAGTTATTCGCACTTCGCGCAGCGAGAAGCGCGAAGCTGGGAGCCCTTGTTGTACGCTCAGTGTGGCGGCGGTGGCCTGTCTCCGCGCCTCGCGCAGGCCTGCCGGTGTTCTTGAACGACAGCCTCCCGCTGCAGCACCGCTACGCGGCGGTGGCGGTGGATGCCGTCGACCTCCTGGCCGGCACGCCCGCCGAGCAGCTGCTGGAGAAGGCAACGTTCACGGATCTGGCCTTGCTGGAGTCTGCAGAAGGCGGGGCGCGGATTCGGGCGAAGAGGGCTATGCGCATGCACCGATCCTGGCAAGGCCCATCCAGGACCCAGGATCGGTGTATACGCCTTCCTGGCTCAGGTAGGATGGCGTATGCACCGATCCTTGGCTCAGGATGGGCCTGGCCAGAATCGGTGTATGTGCATAACGTTAGTTCTTCTTCCACTACGGATACGGCAGGTGCGTGCCGCGTCGACGCGGCGTCGGCGGCGCCAGCTCAGGCGTTCCAGGTGGAACGCCGCCAGTGTCCCGGAATCGGCCGGTATCGGCAGATCGGCGATCATGGAAAGCCACGGTCGTTCAAGGTCGAACGAGCCGCGCGGTGACAGAAACCAATGTCGACGTCATCACGACGTGAATCCGCCGTAGAGGTTGAAGCACCTCCTGGACACTCATCGTCATCGACAGTCTCGGACGCTGAAGCAAAGACTACGGGGAGGCTGGAAAAAAGAGAGGCGTCCAGGCTCGGTTGTGTCAGTTTTTTCAGGCCTCCCGTTTTGTTCTTTGGGGGCGGCTAGGACAACCCTGAAAAAGGATACTGTAACCCTTCTGTGTTAGGGGAACAAAGAGTGGCATAAACATAAAAACTCGGAGGTCCGCGCGGATTTCTCGGATCGGCGCTGGACCCCCCTCCCTGGCGCGCGGAGCGCGCCAGGGGCGGCGCCGGAGGCGCCGCCAGGGGGCCCCAGGGCCGATCCGAGGAATCCGCGCGGACCTCATAATTTTTATGTTTATGCCACTTGTTGTTCCCCTATGCGTCTCCAGCCGATGATGTTTTTGTTGGGGTGGCCGCGCGCGCCCCCCCAAATGGCGCGGCGAGGTCTTTGTGTTTTCCCGCTCGTGTTTGTGCTATCTCAATGCAGTGCCGTTTTTAGTACATGCTCCGCGTGCGGATCATGTATTACAAATGCATGGATTTAGTATGATAATCAACGATGGGTTCATGCATAAATGCATTCATAGATTAATCATGCATTAGAAATCCGATGTTTTAATCCTACGGATTAAGAGCTGCCCTGTATGCTCCGCACGTTTTGCTCGTCATTCGCGGGCTCGCTGGCTGGTTCATTGGCCTTTTTCTTCTTAGCCCCCCCCCGGGGGGGCCCCACGCTTCCGGCGCCACCGCCAAAATCTTGATGTCTGACCTTCCTTTGTGTTTTGTCATTTGCGGCTTTGGCGGGGCGCCCCGTCGCCGCGCCACAATCTGTACGCTTCTTTTGGGCGGCCGATCCATTGTTGCCTGCTGTTTGGCTCGCCCCCGCACCCCCCGGGCCACCGCCAGCGCTTTTTGTTTCTTCGCTGCGGGCCTAATTACCTTTGTGCTTGTGATTTGCGGCTTCGGCGGGGCGCCGCCTCGCTACGTCAAATTCTGAGTGTTTTTGTTTTGTCGGCCGATCCATTGGTGCCAATTGGTTGGGCTGCCCCGGTCCCTCCCGGGCCGCTTACAAAATCAATATCTTTCTGCGCTGCGGGACAGCGTTTTACGTCGCCACGTCTGGGCCAGACCGCAGGCGGCTTGCCGCCTCCGTCGGCGCGGGCGTTGAGTTCGGGCCGGCTGGGGGCCTCGCGAGAGCATGGCGGGCGCGCTGTTTTATTTTCTTCGGGGTTAGGGCCTGCTCCTGTTTTTATTTTGCGCGGGCGCAGGCCGATACCACTTGACCTACTCTAACCTCTTTGTCGGTTAGGATCCCAGCTTCGTATGTTTCCAGCCTCCCTGCACTTTGGGGTCAGGGGGGGTCTGGTTTTCGGACCACTACCCAGATCTAGGTTTAAGTCGGGCCTGCACCTCTGCTGGAGGACTACTCAAAGTTAGCCTGGCGAAGGACCCAACCATATGCAGTTGTGGGTATCGCATTCGGGGTGTCCCCGTATGGGGCCACGAATCGCTGTACTGGGTGGGGGGGGACGCATGCGAACTGCGCCAATGTGAGCTTTGAGTGGAGCTCCCTATGGGGCCACGAAACGCTGTACTGGGCGGGGGGGACGCATGCGAACTGCGCCTCTGGGGCCTTCGCTGGAGCTCCCTACGGGGCCACGAAACATTGTACTGGGTGGGGGGACGCATGCGAACTGCGCCACTGGGACCTTCGGGGAACCTACCTATGGGGCCACGAAACGCTGCCCTGGGTGGGGGGGGGACGCATGCGAACTGCGCCACTGGGGCCTTCCGTGGAGCTCCCTATGGGGCCACGAAACGCAGCCTATGGTGAGGGAACCGCATGCGGGCTGAGCCACTGGGACCTTCGGTGGAGCTCCCTATAGGGCTACGAAACGCTGCCCTGGGTAGGGGAACCGCATGCGAACACCCCCACTGGGGCCTTCGGTGGAGCTCCCTTTCGGGCCACGAAACGCTGCCCTGGGTGGGGGAACCGCATGCGGGCTGTGCCTCTGGGGCCTTCGGTGGAGCTCCTTATGGGAGTACGAAGCGCTGCCCTGGGCGGGGTAACCGCATGCGGGCTGTGCCACTGGGACCTTCGGTGGAGCTCCCTATAGGGCTACGAAACGTTGCCCTGGGTGGGGGAACCGCATGCGAACACCCCCACTGGGGCCTTCGGCGGAGCTCCCCATGGGGCTACGAAGCGCTGCCCTGGGTGAAGGAACCGCATGCGAACACCCCCATTGGGGCCTTCAGTGGAGCTCCCTATGAAGTCACGAAACGCTACCCTGGGTGGGGTAACCGCATGCGAACACCCCCACTGGGGCCTTCGGTGGAGCTCCCTTTGGGGCCACGAAACGCTGCCCAGGGTGGGGGACCCGCATTCGAACACCCCCACTGGGGCCTTCGGTGGGGCTCCCTATGGGGCCACGAAACGCTGTCCTGGGTAGGGGAACCGCATGCGAACACCCCCAGTGGGGCCTTCGGTGGAGCTCCCTTTCGGGCCACGAAACGCTGCCCTGGGTGGCATGCGAACACCCCCAGTGGGGCCTTCGGTGGAGCTCCCTATTGGGCTACGAAGCGCTGCCCTTGGTGGGGGAACCGCATGCGGGCTGTGCCACTGGGACCTTCGGTGTAGCTCCCTATGAGGCTACGAAACGTGTTAGGGGTGTGCCGAGAGCAGAGGCAATGAGGGGGAGGAGGGAGGAGGGGAAGGGAGAAGCGGGAGGAGGAAGGAACGCGGGGCGCTGTCTCTTCAAAGCGAGGCCCAACACCACAGGATGGTTGGGAAATAGTGCAGAAATAGTCTGGGAACAATTTCCTTTTGATTTCTTCATCATGTTGGAGTATTTTTTTAGTACTTTCGATTCTTCGTCCACTATCGGCCTGTAGGGGGACACGCCCGACCTAAATGTAGGCCAGGGAACCTATTCGAAGCCGAGGCTTGCAGTGGCCAGGAGAGCTCCTCACCGTTCCATGCTCATCGCTGCTGGAGGTCGCATGACGAGTGCATTCTCGCAGATGTTTCAGTGCTCCAGATGTTCAGTGTTCAATGTCCCAGCGATGGATCCTGGCACGCCGACCAGCCGTCGGCTTGTCGTCGGAAGTTGTTTTCTCGACCGTATCTCCCGTAGGCCGACAGCATCTGTTTGCGGCTCCCTCCTGTAGTAGGGAGGTGAAGGCAGAGGCGAAAGGCGGGGGCGCGGGGCAGCGAACAAGCACGAGGACTGTGATGTTGAGAAGGCACAGCAGCATAAGCGCAGACATCTACATACGTATACGATACTCACATCTCGAATGCAACTGCATATCTATCGACAGTTACCCGGCCCCAGATTTATCCACAGACGTCGCGTGATTGTTTGGGGTATTGGGATGATCTTGTTGTACGCGTGATGGCGGAAAGATATCCACACCAACATCGCGCGAGGAGGTTACCGTTCAGCACAGGAGATTGTCGAACGTCGTCTTCCCCTTTCCCGGCGATGTTGAAGGCTTCTTTGCCCGTCTGGGACGTTGTGGAAACCGAATATGCGAGCATGCGAAAGATGTTTGTTTTCCGTAGGGAATGGGGCAATTTCTGTTTCTTGGGACCCTCTTAGGGCGCATTGTGGGAGCCTTTTGGGGCGTCTTGGCAGCTGCGGAAGCCGCCTGGAGGCCATCGTGGGCGTCCAGGGGCGATATTTCGGCGAATCGTGGCCCCCTGGGACCGTCTGGGGAGCGTTTTGGTGCCGTCTTGGCCAGTTTTGGAACCCTCCGCACCCCCGTGGCGCGTTCGGTCCAGGGTCGGGCTCGGCCAGGGGGGGGGGGTGAAATTGCTGGTTTGGGGTTCCTGGGGGGGGGGATTATGGGGGGGGATAGTCTCACACGCCTATAGACCCACAAGGGGTCGGCGGATTTGTTTTTTTTTCTTGTGTAATTTCAGAAAACAGGAAAGCGCCGGTTCGGTTCGGTTAGGTTCCGAAGCGCCTCCGGTTCGGTTCGGTTCGGTTCGGTGTCGTAATCATCAGGTTCGGTTCGTTTCGGTTCGGTCTTTGTTTTTTTGTTTCCAGTTCGAAACAGTTCCTGTTCTGGTTCGGTCCCGTTCCGGCCAGATCGCCGTCGAGGAGCGGTTCCGACCCCAGCCGATCCGATTCCGTTGTGCTCCTTTCGATGCCGACGGAGGAGGAGGAGGAGGAGGAGGAGGAGGAGGAGGAGCTGGGGCGACACTCCCACCGCGCCCCAGCGCCCCAGCGCGCCCGGCGCGCCCGGCGAGGTGCCTCGCTGCCGTCGTCGTCGTCGTCGTCGTCGTCGTCGTCGTCGTCGTCGTCGTCGTCGTCGAAGTCGTCGTCGTCGTGGTCGTCGTCGTCGGTCGTCGGGCCTGGCGTCGTTGGTCGGGCGCCGAGAAATGCCGCGGCCGTGGTCCTCGTGGACCTCTCGTCCTTTTTTTGAGTCCGTGGACCCCTCCGTGGCCCCAGGGCCAGAAAACGGC